TGCTGCACTGGCCCTTCACGCAGCCTCTCCCAAGAGGGCAAGAGTGACACCCCGAGCACAGGCCTCCCGAACACCTCTCCTGCCACGTTCAGACAAGCCACAAAGCCAGCCCACTCCCCAGAGGAGAGGAGCGGCAGTCCCATTGCCAAGGGCCACGCGGGCCGGGCGGGGACGGGGGTGCTGCCCAGCCTCTGCTCCCTGCCCTTGCCGCCAGCCCTCGCTCTGCAAGAACAGCAAACAAAACCATCGCTTTTTTTTACAAAACTTTTGGTTTTGTTAAACAAAAACTAGCTCGCCCCACATACATTTTGGTCGCTGTCCTGCTTTTTTCATGAATTACCGCCAGAGCTGTTCTTCTATCCTGATGCTCATATATCCGGCGGCTGTACAGCACTCACGGCTCGGCCAGACCGTCATTCTTAAGGCCGGTCCATCCCTGTGGCGGAGGTTGAGGCTGGTTTCGTGTTGTCTGCGTTGTTCTCCCCAGCGCTCTTTCTCTGGAACTTCTACATTGCTCTCCAAGCAGGAGGCGGAAGGAGACCGCAGATGCGTAGTCTGTCCCCTCCAGCTCTGTCAGGGCTCATTTCTTAATTCCCCGAAACCCCTGGGTTCAAATCACGGCCCCTGCACAAGTCACCATCCCCTCCTCCGGCTTTGGGTTCTGGCTCCTTAAAGAACGAGCCCCACTGCTCGTGCCTGGGTGGGGGTGACCCTCCCCGGGGAGGACGTCGCAGCCTCCGGTTCCTCAGATAGACCTGCAGGTGCCAGCCGGGGGCTTCAGTGCGTAGGTAAATGTGCCCCTCTGAGCCTCCATTTGTGTAGACGGGCCAAAAACAGCCCCCACCTCCGGGGTTGCCCTAAGAATTCAAGCAGAACCCTGTGCACAGAGCCGCTGCCCCCCCAAAACTAAACGAGTCCCCACCCGTGGTAGACATTCCTTAGGTGGGGGCTCTTATGACTGTTCCTGCTGGCATCATAACTGGCACCTTTTTAAAGCACGATGCTGCTATTGTGCTTTATTTAGGGGACAAAAACAACAGCCAGAAGAACCTTTCTCTCTTAAACGGTGTCCCTGGGCCTGTGTGTGTCAGCCAGTGAACTAAGAGTTGTTTTACATTTTGAAATGGCTAGGGAAAACAAAATCAAAAGAACATTTCATGACCTGTGAAACTTACCTGAAATTCAAGGGGCAGCGTCCATAAATAAAGCCGGCTGGGCACAGCCATGCCATCGGCTGACCCGTCATCCGCGGCCGCTTGTGCGTGAGGACAGCTGAGCCGAATCCTTGTGACACAGACTGCCTGGCACACACAGCCAAAAGTATTTACTCTGGACTTGACTATAAAAGCCTGCTGGTCCCATTTTAGAGATGCATAAATTAGCCGAGATTTGCTTTAAAACAGTACAGGATGGGGAAGCAGGGGGAATTCGGGTGAAAGAGGCTGGCTGTGAGTCGTCTGCTTGAGGCCGGGTGACGGGCTCGCGTTTTTGACACTGTTCCGCTGTTGCATATGTTTGATGTTTTATAAAATTTAAAACATAAATCTAAGTGCCTGTGGCAGTGCCAGGCACAGGAAGCACCAAGTAAGTGGGCATCAGGGCTGAGACCAGGGCACAGCCCGAGGCTCTGGACTGGGGGCCCCTCGCAGGCCCCTCTGTGACAGGGATGTCTTGCCCACAGAGACCCTGCAGGAGTACCTAAAGGTGGCCATGGCTCTCCAGTACGACGAGAAGCCACCCTACACTCTGCTGAGGAACAGCCTGGAAGCCGTGCTGCAGGATCTGCGGGTGGCAGCCTACGACCCCGTGGACTTCCCCATGGTGCCCTAGGTGGGTTCCCCTGGGCGGAGTCGGAGCCTTACCCCCCGCTCGCCACCCCGGGCCCTGCCACCCAGACACCACCTGCTGCTTTTTCCAGGACCCAGCTTCCCTGATGGATGCTGGATTTTTCCACAAGGTTCTTTTCAATCCCAGGAATCACGAGTAGCAGAAACCCGGCTCAAAGGGGCTTTTAGAAAGAGGTGGATTGAATTGGCTCCTGTAACTAGAGATTTCCAAGAGGGGAGCTTTAGGCCTGACTGGGTTCAGGGCCTGGAAAGCAGCATCGAGCTGTGATCGGCCTGTCGTTCTCTGGCCCTTCTTTCGTCCCTCTGTCCCTCAGCCCATCTGCCTGTCGTCTCTGCTGTCCTTCAGGTTGGCTCCCCCACCCCCACACACAGTAACTCAGGGCTCTGCGCCCCGTGCCACACCTTGCTCTTCACCGTGGGCTTCTCAGCCCTTCCCGATCCTTGCTGGCCACCGTGGGCTTCTCAGCCCTTCCCGATCCTCGCTGGCGGCAGCACCGCCCGCCCTCGTGTGGGGAGGGGTCCTCTCAACCAGCATCCGCTGGGTTCCCCGGCTTCTGTTTTACGCACCACGTTGCCTTACACACCTGTGTGCCCAGGCCTGCCTTGGCTGTGCTCCTGTGTCTGTGGACGAAGTCCTCATCCCGAGAGAGAACTAGATCGCCCTCCATCGGGGCTGTACCTGTGGACGCTCCCACGAGCACCGTGCGAGAGCGTCCAGGAATTTCGGGAAGGTCAAAACAAAACCAAGTTCGCTTTATAGTCCCTCTTGGCAGGGCTGCGGGGAGGCGAGCCCCTCAGAAGACGAGCTCCGAGCTCCGAGGCCCCGCTCTGTCCGTCGGGGCTGGCTGGACTCAGAGCTCCGTGTTTGTCTGACTCAGGGGTTCTCCAATGGAGGCGAGGTATCCTCCGGGCGGGCGTTTGTCACCGTCTGCAGACATGCTTGGTTGTCGCAGCTAGGGAGAGGGCGCCGCTGGCAGCCAGCGCGTAGAGGCCAGGATGCTGCTGGGCCCCTGCGGAGAGCCGTCAGCCCCGGTGTCCGCCGTGCCAGGCTTGACGGAGCCAGTCCGAGCGCATCCCGAGTAGCACTCTCCGGGGTGGCAACCCGTCTCCCACGGCAGTCCTCTTCTGCGGGCACCTCGGTCACAGTGCCCCTCGTCCCTGCGCCCTGCACTCATCCCAGCACCGACAGCGCGAGATGACACGCGTGCGAACCCTGCGCACAGGCCTGCTCACAGTATGGTCCGAGAATGCCAGGCCCTGGGTTTGGTCTTCCCCACAGGGTGGTGGGCTCTCAGCCTTGACCTCAGACGCTCTCCCAAAGTGAAGGCGTGACTTCTCCACCCGGCTTGCCTGAGTGCCCGCCTCTCTAGCTCGGCAGGTGGCTCCTCCATCCCCCACTGTCCAGGAGACCTCGGGTCCCCACCACACCGCATCCTTCCAGTCCATCTCCTCCGGGCCTCTGCCCCTGCCCTCTCCCCGGATTTCCCTGGAGGCGATGAACAATGTGGTCACTTGTCATGGTCGCCCACCGGTGGTAATCTCCATGAGGACGGGGACACATCTTTCTCTGGCCTCCCTGTCTTCACATCGCTGTCCTGGTGCCCACAGTCTCCACCAGATTTATGGAGCGGGTGGCTCCAGCCTTACTGCTGGGGCTGGCTTGTCTTACAGCACCCCCCTCCTGTGCGCCCAGCGCCATGGAAATTTTAAAACACAAACCCTAATGGCCCCTGTGAGGATCATTATAGTTTCAGACCTGCTTCCTCTTGGGACCACTCACTCAGCCGCAGGTGTGTCCCTTGGTTAGAAGAAGCTGCTTAAGGAGCACATGACACTGCAGTCACTTGAAGACCACCTGGCCCCTGCTTTAGGGTGGCTCCTTGCCTGGTCTGCGGGGCCAACCTCTCTGCCTCCGCATCCTCCAGCCCGCTCTGCGCCCCCCGCACTGTCCTCCCCTCGGATTCCAGACCCGGCCGAGCTCCGTCCCGCCTCAGGATCTTGCACTCGCTGTCCCCACAGCCCGCAGCGCTTTGCCCTCGTTTTTGCGTGGCTGGCTCCTCATTACTGGCTCTTGCTCGGATCCTGAGGCCTTCCCTGACCCCCACCCCCTGCCGTGAGGCACCTGCCCACCTGTCCTCTAGACTCTTACCACCTGCTCCCGCACAGCCCAGTTTAATGTGCCGTCTCCGCCCCCCTCCTACAGCTCAACAGAGGTTTCTTGTTCCCTTTGTCCTCAGAAAGTGCCCGTCACACAGTGGGGGCTTCCAGGGAGCTCCTGGAATGAAGAAGACACTAACAGCCGTTTTTTATTGTCTTCCAGAACTTTCAACTCACAGTTTAAAATAGAAAAAAAAAAAAAAGAGAGAGAAGAAATGTGACTCCAGGCCTGCTGTAGAATCACACATAAGCTTCTGGAACGATCCCTCGAATGTACATTCCTGCCACTTCTTTAGACGACGCTACTCCTCAGTAGTCTTGGTTATCGTCGGGGAACCTGGCAGTTAGGCTGCAAGTAATGTGAATGGCCCGCCTTTCTACTGTCCCTTTCAGCCATCGTCCCCTGCCAGCCGCGGGGGCTGTGAATGAAGAAGACCCCCAGCTCTGGGGCGGGGGACTGAGCCAGCCCCCGCAGGGGGGACCCCTCCTGCCATCGGCACCACTGCGCTTGGGTAATAAATTGTTTCACTGGAGCTTAGAGAGTCGAGTGTCTGCAAAAGAAGGTCCCTTGGGAAAAGTTTAGCACCCCCATCCCCACCCGCCGCCTTTTTTACCCCTTCTGTTGTGGCCTGTATAGAATAGACCAAACCAAGTATGCTCTCAAAGGCTGTTTATTAGCCGGCGGCTGTCCTGTGCAAAGGAGCAGCCCCGAAATGCCAAGATACAAGGTTTTTAAGCCCTAAATCCCATTCTTCATTCTGTCTTAAACACAAAGGTCCATCTTTCTCCTATTTACTACCTGTCAACCCACTGGTCAGGTGTGCAAGCGGGGAGTACAGAAGCAGAAAGCTTGTTGTTAGAATGTTATGTTCCTATGGGTGATTGCCTATGTTCCCATGGGCAATGGCTAAACAGTAATTTTCAGCTTATATACAATTATTTTTCATGCCACGCAAGCAAGCAGGGTTACACAGGCTAAAATTGGCAGTTAGCGTATGAGCTCATTGTTACAAGTTTCATGATTAACAGAATGCGGTTAGGGGTTCCAGAAACTAGGCCTAAGGTGTAGACTTCCTTTGTCCAGTTTCAGGTTTTAATTACCCTTTAACCCTTTCACATTTCAGCAGGCTGTCACACTTCTACCCACCCCTTCAGCCTTTTACCCAGCAGCCACTCTCATTCAACTCTTCAGATGTAGACACCCCTGCGCCAGTCCTTCCGTCCGTCCTTCAGTCCGTGCTTCCATCCATCCGTCCATCCGTCTGTGCCTGCATCCATCCACCCATCCACCTATCCTTCCACATGTAGATGCACCTGGCCTTTCCACGAGGTTATATCCTGGTAAGCCCAAGGTTGAGACCCCGACACAGACCTATACCTTCCATAAAAATTAACTCAAATACAAAACCGAAACTTCTGGAAGAAAACAGGACAAAGTCTATATGACTTTGGATTTGGTTGAAAGAAAAGAAGGAAAGAAAGAAACTGCATTTACTGGGCTCGTTTGCCAGTCTCCTCGGCTGGGCTGTTGGTGGAGAGCTGGTTGCAAGCCCACAAGGTCCTTGCAATCTGTGAGGCCAACCGAGGGTTGCCTCGTCTCCAGGAATCCTCCTAAGAATGGGAAGTAGGAACTGATGGGAAGACAATGCTGTGTTGAAATGCAAAGGCTTATAGCAGGGTGTGGAGGGTGGGTGGGGCTAATGTCATTTTAGCCGGCAAATGTATGCTTTGTCTAAAAGCAACCTGCAAAAATAAAATCGCTGTCGGCTCCATCATGAGCGACAGCGGCCCTCCCGATCCTGGCTTTCTGTCTTCTGTCTTGTCTCAATCTCCCACCGTCTCCACTCAGGATTATTTTCCAGGATTTACCACTTGCTGGATGCGGCAAACTACAGGTGAAGTCACAGCTGAACACTGAGGACGGGGCCACAGAGCAGCAGGTGGGGGGGGACCGTCTGCGTACCTGTCAGTGTCACTGGCTCTGAGACCCTTTCCTCCGAGGGCGGGTCCGGCCACCTGAACTCGCCTCGTGATCCAACACGATGCAGTGCTGGAGAAAAAAGCACCTGCAGAAACGCTGCTGGCCAGCTCACCGGCCTTTCCCTCCAGGTCCCTTTGTCACGTCTGGATGCTGGTCATTGTAAAAAAAAAACGATGCATTTACTTGTCTGGCTGTTGCAAGGTCCCAGAGACGGGGCCTCACAGCAGTCCCAGCCGTGACTCCACTCCTGGCCCGTGGCCGATCGTGTCCCCTGTGGGATTTCACGGGCTGCGCCAGCCCTCCGCACCGCCGAGGAAGCTGGGTTCACGCCCACCCCCAGCGGAACACCGAGGAAAAGCCTCAGGACTGCGAATCGGATCGGAACCACTAGTCTCAACTCCGAGATCTTCCGCGGAGGAGAGGGGTGGCTTTGACGATTCTCGCCCCTGCTCTGCTCCTCAGTTTTCTCTTCTGCAAAATGGGAATTTTTAATAACTGGTTTAACAAATGTTCCAGGCCCCTTCGGAGTGCTTTACAAATATTGATTCAATTAATGCTCAGGGCAACCCTGTGAGGTTGGTGCTGTGATTCTCATAAGAAGAGACGGAGGCACAGAGAGGCGAAGCGGGCTGCCCAAGGCCACAGCTGCCTGGCAGCCGCAGATTTACACCCCGGGCCGCCCTGTACTGGGGGTGTCACGAACTTGGGACCTTGTCTGCCCTCCCCACTCGGATGTGATCTGAAAGCGGGAACTTCGTCTGGCGCAGGGAGGCGGTTAATTAACACTGAAGGAGGGTGACCTGATCTCAGGATAGTCACATGCCTTTGACCTGAGCCCTCCTGCCACACTCTGCTCGGGACCTGTATTCGTGCTCAGGGCTTCTAGTCCCAGTAAATGGATCTTCCCCGGCGTGTCGCGGGACCAGCAGGGACTCGCGGGCTTGGACCGCCTGAGAGGCCCGAGCAGAACCGGCTCACGGCGGGGCACGGGCGCCCCCTAGCGACAGACCCGTGCCAGGACGGCGCCGCCGGGAGCCCGGAAATGTTTGTTTTAGGACGAAAGGGACTTGCCATCGGGTCTGTTTTCTGGAAATCAGTGCAAGAAGCTGGAGGCTCTGGGCCAATGACTTCCAAATTTTTATGGTGCACAGTAAGAAATCATTTCACATCAACAGAGTTTCACAAAATGCCACCTGGTCCTGCATGTTTTTTCGTTCTGGTCCTCTTTATACGCCGTTCAAAATCCTTTAAATGGATTCCCTGCCCACCTGTGCCATTTTTTTCAGCTCACTAAGAAAGAGTATGATGCAGAAAGCATTAGCTCCCAGGCCGGACCCCGTCCAAACCCTAGGTGACTTCCTTCCACATCCGTGCTGCCTGTCAGGTCGGGGTTTGCCACCCCTGACCTCCAGATAAGGAAGGAATCGAAGACAGAGGTGACACCACCTGTTCAAGGCCACACGGCTTGGATATGCAGTGCCAGCTTCTGCCTCACTCTGGAGGAGAAAACTCACTAGGTGCTCCTCATCTGTTTTGGAGTGAAGCTTCATTCAGTCCTTTATTTTCACAAATAGGGTTGAGCTGCACTGGCCTGCAATGTACAAGGTAAATTACTGACATTCCAGAGGTCAGGCTGACCATTCTAAGTCTTCGCATGGAACAAGATGAATCCGAGATGGAGACAGAGTCTGTGTCTGTTCTAGATTGTCCAAACTGGCCATCTCACTTAAATATATGCAAAGGTGACGGCCCAAATATGAAAATCATCTTCTGTGCAGTAATTGGCAAGGACGGCACAGACTGAAGTCCATGGGGATGCAGGAGCCTGAGGCGGGGCTTAGCATTGAAGACACTTTGCTCCTAGGGCCCTGGCTGCTGCAGAGGGACTTGAACTTGGACCTTGACATTTCCATTTGCTCCCGCCAGGTAGCAACGCCAGTCAAGGATGCTTCATACTAAGTTCAACTCTGAACGGTCTGGTCTCTGTCACCCCCACCCCCCACCCCTGCTATGAGTCCCCAGGGTAGACATCTACAGAAAGGCTGGGCTGTGGCAAAAAATCCAGAGATGGATTTTTCTTATTCTTTAATCTTGTTCTGCTCAGCACCAAGAAATAAAGGACAGTGAAAAGCCTGGGTGGTCACCCAAATGGGACATCAAAAGACAATCCTCAGCACAATAAGCAGGGCCCCTGCGTTATTTTCCTGTGGCTGCTGTACCATATTACGACAAACTTAGTCTCTTAAAATGAAAGTTATTTTCTCCCAGTTCTGGAGGCCGGAAATCCAAAATCAAGGTGGCAGCAAGGCCACTTCCTCTGAAGGCTCTGGGGGAGGATCCCTTTTCCGACTTCCAGCTTCTGGTGGCTTCGGACTTGCCTGGACCTCTGGCTGCGTCACCCAGTCTCTGCCTCTGTCTTCACATGGCCTTCTTGCCTTCTCTGTCTCCTACTAAGGACCCTCGTCACTGGATTTAAAGTCTGTATTTGCCTTTGCCACGTAAGGTCTCATTCACAGGTTCTGGGGGTTAGGACGTGGTCATATCTTTGGAGGGGTCACCAACCCACTAGACCCCAAAGGCTAAACTATCAAGGATGAACGAGAATTAAACTCATTCCCTCAGTTCATGGAATTCTAAGTGTCAAGGACAAATGAGGGGGAGAGGGGAGTGACTACTCAATGGCTGTGTTTATTTTGGAGCAACAGAAGTGTTTTGGAACTGGATCGAAGCGGTTGGCAAATTGCAAATGTTCTAAATGCCACTGCACCGTCCACTTTCTTTTGGCACGTAGTAAACGCTCGACACCGACGGGAGCATCGCCCCACCTCTCAACTGCTCCCCGGAGGCTTTCATCAGAGCGGGGGCTCCTCCCCACGGGGCGCCCCACGACTCCTGTTGCAACTGTCCAGCCCTTTTGGTTTCGGCGTCATCTTTTTTGGTGTGACAAGGACCATGGGCAGCTGGCACCTTTGGCTATCCTTTCGTTCGCTGTGTAAGTAATTAATGGTCTGAATCTAAAAGTGGGTCTCGTCCGGTTCAGTCGGGCCCCTCTTGGCCTTGGCCGTGTGCCAAGCGTGTGTACTCGACCATAGGTATTACCTGTTATTTCTATTATTATCATTATCATTCTGGTCTTTGGCCTAAGACTGCCCTCGTTCCCAACTTCTCCTCTCAAAGACAAGACACACAGACCAGAAGAAATTCTTCATTTTATTTCTGCCGCCACCCACAAAATGATCACCCCCCCGCCCTCCCTCACCTAGATGCAGCCCCTGGCCCAGCACCTTTCACAAAACACTGATTTCCTCCCACAGCTAATGTGAACACCCCGTCACCAACTATGGCCATGCCCGCCCTGCCCTGCTCCCCACCTGCCTCCATAGCCACCGGCTCTTTGAACTTGGCCACCTTTTGGCTCCCTGCCCAAATGTAGTTTCCCAAGGTCACTTGGCTTGCTTTTCTTGCTTACGTTATTATACAAGTGCCATTCTTAAAATGCTCCCCGACTTACTCTCCTGAAGGCTCCCCCGTCCTCATATGCATAGTCATTCTGCACAGCTTTCTGGCCTCGCCTCCCTGCTTGAGAGGTCTCCCAAGCTCTCCCCAGCTCCCTGAACTCCCGGGGGGCCTGAGCCCTTCAGCTGTCACGTGAGGAGTACACATGTTGACTAAGGCCAAACTGTTCCATGATCCCGGGGAGGGAGGAGAGGAGCGGAACGGAAATGCACAAGAAACGAGACAAGGATAAAAGGAGAGAGAGAGAAGAGGGGCACGTTGGAAAGGAGCTGGAGGCAGAGGGATGAGAAAGGGACCCTGTCACTTCGGCCCCAAAAACAGAAGCGAGCCAGAGCTGAAGACCAAGCCCCTGCGTGCCTAGCTGCTGCGGGTCCTCTGGCTCCGTGCCTTGTACACCTCGATGAGCAGGTCCTTAACGTACTGGATCTCCCGCTCCACAGACTCGGCCCTCTCCCGCAGCTCCCGGTTCCGTGCCTCCAGGCCCTGGCACTCACCCTCCAGGGCCTCGCCCTCCGCCCGCTTCCTCTGGCGATACCTCAGAGCAGCTGACTTGTTCTGATCTCTCTTCTTCTGCTTGCGGTCCCCTCGGGTGGTGGCAGGAACGGGATAAGGGACCGGGCGAGACGTTGGAGGTGGAGGAGGGGGCTGCTGTGGTGGGGGCAGGGGAGCCAACCCTGAATCGCCCTGCCCTGCCTCGCTGCGGCAGTAGATGGCCAGCAAGTCTAGGGTATCCAGGGCGGGGGGCT